ATGTGGAGAGAAAGAAGAGTTTTGTAGAGGAGACTAGTTTCTTAAAAGTTTAATCTTCTGTGTTCAAAACCACAATTTGTTTCCTTTTGTATTTCCTAAAGATGCCTTTACTAATAGGTAGTACACTTATCTGCCTCAAAAGCAAAATGTTGGGAGCAAAGCTATGCTTCTCTCGACATTTCCCATGTTCCCTCTTCATACTTTCAGAAAGAGCTTTTTCAAACTACAAAACCCCTGCAGCACAATGGATAAAGTGTACTGCTACAGAATGCTTGAAGAAAAAATCCACCTGCATCACAGAAAACAGCCATGCTCCATACTTACTCCAACAGCCATACTTACAGTAACTGCTAGCAGGGTAGATCCAACACTGTGAAATAAAATAAGAAAAATAAACAGTAATAATATTAAAAATCCACAACTTTTAGGACTATGCCCAAAACATTAGAAATGTAACTACCACTGATTAGCTACTTAACATGCACATCGTTTTTTAGGATCGTATTCTTCATGGATTTTTGTAGAGCTTTATCCTACAGTTATTCTGTGGACAAGTAATCAAACAAGTCTTTGTATGTATCATGTCATTTCTGAAGACTTTGAACAGCTCTGCGCCAACCTTAGAAGGCCAATGTAGTGAGACAGAAGTTTCCTAAGAAAACATGTCTTATGTGAATATGTATGTGAAGGTTAGTTATGACAATAGACAGTTCCGTGTGTAGAAAGAGAGCCCAAAGATTGAAGCTGGGGTGCAAAACTGATTAGGAGCTGACTGAAATATTGGTAGCACCAAGAATAAGGAAAGAGGAAAAATCATAAGCAGCATAGGCAGTGCTACTCAGAGAAAGAGAAGGAGTAGGGTAAGGAGGAAAAAGTATCTTAAATGGAAGACTGGGGAGGAACAGGGACAACAATTTCCACCTCCCATTATCACCTAATATAGCGGTAAAAATTAGGAGAAAAGTGTACAAACAGTGAGGCAACCTTTCAAATGAGACAGTTCAGGTGTCATCCCATGAGGTAACAGACAGGAGAATTTTATCTATTTGTATTTAAAAGAGTGAGGAACTTTTTGGAGAAGGCAAGAGAAGGAAAGGAGAGGAATGCAAGACAAAGGAATGCAGAGCAAGAGAGCACCCATGGTAGCAGCTGTGACAGGAAAAGCTGCAGGCAAGAACAGAAGGAGCTATAGGGAAAAGGAGCATGGAGGTGCAAGTATCAGAGACTGAGTAGTGAGAGCAGATAAACAAAGTTGGAAACAAACCAAGTGAGTCAATTGTATTAAAAAAAAAACCACTTGTGTAGCTGTCTTGCAAGAAAATGGCGGGCATATTCCCCACTCAACATATACTCACCATCTGAAATAATATGGACTGTGTGTTTCTACAGGCAATATATTCTTCCACATATCTGCACACAAATTCTTGCGGAATCATAGAATGGCCTGGGTGGAAAAGGACCACAGTGATCATGTAGTTTCAACCCCTCTGCTATGTGCAAGGTCGCCAACCACCAGACCAGGCTGCCCAGAGCCACATCCAGCCTGGCCTTGAATACCTCCAGGGATGGGGCATCCACAATCTCTTTGGGCAACCTGTTCAAACAGATCCATCAATTCATACAGTTAGGCTGGACTTGATTTTGTTTAGCATTTCCATCACGCTCAGTGTATTCAAATCACAATGCAGTACCATTCACAGTGTAACACCAGGCATGAGGAGAGTAGAGTCTGCTGTGGGGAACACAGAACACTGGATAGCCTGTGGCGTGGCTCTGGAGTGGAAACACATTGTCTGGGCCCAGGTCAGCACTTTAGATGCAAGTCCAGCCATCACCTTTTTGATAGACAGAGAATCCTTAAATTTTTCGTAATTGACATGTCTATTTAATTTGGTTTAAGCACATCTAACACTGAAAGCACTTGTCATTTCCACCATAACATTTTGTACTCAGAAACGGCATCAAGCATTTCTGGCAGTGGTAGGAAGCCTCCACTTGCTCCCATGTGGTACTACTACCTAACTTTTCTTATTGGACAAAGTTGTCTTCATAAAGCTAATATCCCACCACATGTCACTCCCATCATTTCAGTGTCCTTTATCTTTTTTTTATTACCTACCGATTTTTCTGCCAAGACCTTTTGATGATTGATCTGTTACAACTTTATTAAAAACCGTTCACTTAGAGAAGGTTTGGGGTGGGGGGAGGGGAGTCACATTTATTCACAAAGTCATTAAACTGACAACAGAGGGGGAAAAAAAATCCCAGAAAAAAAATAACTCTGCACATTCAAAATAAATAATAAATTGCAAAATTACTCAGTTGTTTACATATCTTTTTCTTTTCCTCTGGAGAGTTAAGGTCTATATTGAGCCATGCATCTTGATCTTGTACACATCCTTTAGTATCAGGAGATATTAACAGTAATTACATTAGGATCTGTGATTTAGTTAATTGGATTTAAAATATTCTGATCATGAATCTGGATCAGATCTAATTTCAAATCACACATAGGTTGAATTATTGACATAGTAGCTGCGCAAGAAATAGTTGTTAGTTAAGTGCCCCATCTGCATTTCATTTAGCTATCGTTACAATGGCAACAAAAACCATAAGGTAGAATCCAAACTCACTTAAAATTACAGTCTTTCTTTTTCTGCTAGTCTTATCTCACATCTCACTCTTCTGTTTCTTTTGTACTATGTGAACTCTCAGCACTACCACTCACCTCAAATTCATCAGAGGTTAGATTATTGTACCATTTCAGAATTAAGTAATACCATTTCCTTTAACTAGTGCATTTTGTCCTTTATCTTTTTATCCTTTGTGGTCTGCTCTTCATAATTACTATTCTCATTTTCTTCCTGGAAAATAGCCATGAATCTGCCCAGATTTGAGCCTTCAAACTCATTTCCACCCAAAAGTTCAGTATGGCCAATTCTTTTTCATTGTATTACTTACTGCTAGGAACAGCTCCTGGGATTTTCATGACAGAAATGAAAAGAGTTGTGACCAAGTTTTTTGATAAAAGTGAGAGAGCAAATTTTAAGGGCAAAGGGAAATTTCATCCTTCAGAGGAGCAAGAAAACCCAGGCAGTTGTATGCACTTCCCGGTTGCTAATATTTCAAAAATAATTTACTCATTTGATATGCAGATATAGGAACAGAAGGGCACTTGGAAGTAGAATAGCTAAGTGTTAGGACATACATTTTATAGGGGCATAAGCTATTTATTAACTTGAGATTACCAAATATTACATAACAAAAATCAATGCCATATTGGATTATTGCCCTGCAGCACCCAATCCATTTCATAGTATGCTACAAAAATGCACTTTTCTGCAACCAGAAGATAGTCAGACTTTCACAGGTGTGCACCACGCAGCTGTGAGTAAGCAGAAGGGAGCTCTGCTCACTTCAAATAACTCCTCTTGTGGCCTTACTTCTCTATGTCTAAACAACTGATGTGCAGTTTTAATGGCTTCCAAAGGCATTGTAGGAACAATCTAAATAAGCTGTGACTTACTGAAAACCCAACTTAAAAATCTCAGCCATGAGTGTTCTGGTTTATGCCATTTTGTGTTCATAAGGTGTCATGGAAAGTAATTATTGTGGTTATGAAAAATGTAGTTCAAAGCATTTCCTCTAGAGTCTGGAGTCAGAAAAATGCAGAAGACAGAGCATACTGACTATTATTTGCTAAAAGAAAACCCAGGAAACATACTGGTGTAAAATTTGCCTTGTAGGGACTGCACCATGTGGTTAGTGGTAGCTGTGCCTGTGCAAGTACTTATCAAAGAGCAAAATCATCAAACTTCGTATAACTGTGCCGCTCAAATAGCAAGCCCAGTCCTTATATAAATAGTAGTGGTGAATCACTGCAAGCAGACTAAAGGTTGAACTACCTTGCATAAGATGCCTGACAAAAAATTTTGATGAACACCAGTATAGCAAAACATCTCTTTGGAAGTAATTTGCTGGGGGAGACAGGTAGGCAGTGGATGCAGTTTAAGGAATAAATAAGCCCTGTGATGTAAATACTATTTCTAGTTATTTCTTTGCATCGTGACTTACTTTTGTCACATAGGCTGAAAATGCTTTGTTTATAATATCTCCAGCCCCTAGGGAAAGATACAATATTTTCCATTTCCTTTCCTTTCTCTCAATTGTACATCCATATTTAAAGTTTTACTTCTACTTCATCTGTATCCTCTAACAAATTTGGTCACTGTTCCTTAAAACAGTGAGGTGTGAGGGTCAGAGAAGTTGTGCAGGGACTTATATTTTCTGAATGCAGGTTCTGTAAATTTCATTGTATATAACAGCAAAATTTCTACATCCTCATTGTACACTTCCAACAGCAAAAATGAATTCAGTCTTTTTGTCCTCTAGAAACCAACCGTGGACCACTGCAATCTACAGTCGTCTTTCACACTGCAGATCTTCTCCTCTCTGTTAGGATTAGGGAGACATATGACAAACCCATCTGCTTAAACGTGTTCTCGATTAATATGCTATCAGCCATCCTGAAAAATTAGCTGGCTAATGTGAAATTCGAGCTAGTTAATGAGCACATGCACACACTTGTGCAAGTGTGTCCCCACACACATCGGACCATAGGCATGTGCACATGCATGCCACTGAGGGATCATTACCCATAGCAAAACAGATGAGCCACCAGGGAACTCCTGACTGACTACCTTTGAGTCACCCATTATGTTTTATGCCTCCACTGGAACCAGCACAGCAGCAATTCTTCTCTGGGATAAGTTTTTAGATTTGTCACGTCTGTACTCACCGATGTAGAAGTTATGGAAGTGGCATCAGAAAAAACGATGGAAGCATAATTAAGAAATAATTAACAAGAATAATATGCAAGGGGCCAAGGGACGAAAGCTTTTATTTCATCAACTGGTCTAAGTAATTAAATAGGTACATAACACTGCTGTAAAAGTATCCCTTAAAAAAAAAAAAAGAAAGAAAGAAGGGAAGGAGGAATAATTACCAATTACTTTCTTCTTTGTTCTTTTGTCAGACTAACTCGCATGACCAAGTAGTTTACTCCAAGACAAGCACTTAACAAATCACCTACTCCCACTCAGCAGAGTAGCTCCAGTAGATGAAGATCTGAAAATCACAGCTGCACAGATAAAAGATAAGAGTAACAGAACAGACACTGCACTATCCCTGGGTGAGGAGTATGAGGCGAGGAAGTCCTACTGGTCTCTCATCGGCTATCTCACTGTTCCTCTCTCATATTTGAAAGCATTCATTGCTTCATGTAATAGGAGACAAAAAAGGAGAATGAGTTTTCTCATGATAGCTTGTGATTTATTTTGGGCTGGGGAACTAAGAAAGATTACGCTGTTTCTCTAAGATTTGCCTTCAGCTAGTCACATCTTCCTACCAAATAACTATCCACCACATGGTAAAGACAGCATGCCATGCTATCCAGTGCTTTTCTGCTGCTAGTTAAGGTTGTTGTCCTGTCCCCACTACTGGATGACTGTCTGGTCAATAGTAAATCCCAAACTTAGCAAGTAAATCCTGTTGATCTTGTGCACTTCCCTGAAAATGAGCCAGAATCTGTTATTTGGGTATTTCACCTATCGTACCTTCTTACTTACAAGTCTTGTGATTGCTGCTGTATTTCCTTGATGTGGATAGCAGCCTATTGTTGACTTTACCATGGCCAGAACTCACTTTTCCTGACTTAGATTAAGACAGAAGCTTTTTTCCAGGGTAGTTTCAATCCCTAAATCTACTGCTTTTCTTTCGAGATACATTGACCTTCAGTTCCCTGTAGCATCCTGTTCTTTTGCCATCAACTTTGTATTTGGTCCTTACTAGTAACGTGACTGAAAAGATATCAATAGCAAAATGGTTCAGAGGCATGAAATCTAGTCCAAAATATAAAATAAGCCCAAGAAAAAGCCTTCTATTATTAAAATACCTCACAAAGAAAGAATCAAAATCCCTGGTCAGCATCTGATCTGTAGATTTCAAGCTGAATTTCAGGCCAGTACAGCATAAGCACATTTCTGGGAAGTATCCAAGGCTTTGAATACTTTTCTAGACCTTTTGAGTTCACCAAAGCATTAATGACTGTATGAAAAATGCAAATTAAGTACCATATGTGAATTCAAAATTAAAGCTTTATAGAGAACAATGTGGAAATATACATTCCAGATGCATTCCTGCTTGAAGGCTAAAAGAAGAGCAGCTTTCAGGATTTTGCCAGGTTCCTCCATTGTAATTCCATCTCCTTTTTGAACAGCTCTCTATGTAAATTATGACAGGGCATTAAGCACAGTGATTGTTAAATGCTTCCTACTGTTCAGTGTGGTTTTTATCAGAATTTTTCAATGCAGCATCTTTATCTGTACAGCCTTTCACTCAATGCTAAGTGGCTGCTTCTCACCAGCTCTAACAAATATCTCTTCTGTAAGTTTGATCTTTCTGCTGTCATAAGTATTATACAGTATAAAAAGCGAGGCTTCTAACAGCTGAGAAGTGGATCCAGTCACGTGCCAAATGCATATTCATTTCTCATATTCAGTCCTTTCTTCTCATCTTAGGGAACAGGAGCAAGTCACCTGGCAGTACACCAAGGGCCAAGGTCTTGCCTGCACTAGGCTGGAGAGTCTTGTAATCACAGCAAGGTTTCCCAGGTGCCCCTACAATGCAGCACAGACCAACAAAACTAATTGTCAGCAAGTACTCTGGAGTGATCACATCACTCAAACAGACTGCACTTGACCCACACAAAGTTAATTGTCATGCTAGTCTCTATACACATAGGTCTCACAGTAACAAGCATTTCCAAAGGAAAACGTGAAGTTCCCTAAGTACTTATTTTCAAAATAGACTGTGTTATTTTCATGGCATTGAGCTGCATTTTCTTTTTTAATTTTTGAAAACACTACACAAAGGAATTTCTCATATTATTCACTGTCATCTGTAATAACACATAGCTAAATATGAGCTGGCATAAGAGCTGCAATGACAGATAACACCATTAAAATCAGCAGCCCAGAGCAAATCTCTTCCATGCCCAATTTGCAAATGTGAAACTCTTCACACTAGGAATTTGACAAAATAAACCAGACTGTGCAGACATTTGGAAGAAAAAAAAATTACATTATCAAACATCAACAAGCACTACAAAACCATTTAGTGAAACAAGGCCCCAAAGACATTCTTTTTTCTTACACACACATTAAATTCCCTGAAGTATATATATACACTGCCAGAGGATGGCACAGCTCTGTCTCCCATTGCACAAGACATTCCTGCCTTGCACAGGGACCTGCTGACTGGAGCAGGCTATGTACACTTGGCTGTTTCACCATCTTTCAACCCTTCAGCTGGAAAGTCTATGTCTGCGCCAGAAATTTACTAAGAACTACTCATACAAACTCAAGAAAATTTTATGTTCTCTGTAGTTCTCAGTCTAGGCAAATCTACCCAAACTTGTCTGAATTAACCTACAGAGCTACCCGGGCAGAAGGAATTTTTCAGCTGCTAAGGTAGCATTTGCAGATAGTAGAGTACCTACAAACATTTTGTGAAACATCACTCAATGATTTTTCAGACTCACTGGCACTACACAAAAAAGGATTTTATGGTTACGAAGACTTGTAGTTAAAATACTTTTGACTGAAACAGTTACAAAAGAAGCATTTCACTATGGGCCAAATTAAACCTTAATGGTTGAGGATGCAGAGGCAGAGTCATGTAAAAAGTAATAGAATTGTTTTTCCATAAATTTGATACAGTGTTTGAAAAACTGTGCTTATATCCATCCTTAATCCCAAGTAAAACAAGTCACTTCTGTCATCTACTAAATCTCAGAGCTATCACAGAGGGATAAGGGCAAACATGTTACATAAGATGCGAGCCAATTGCTAATAAAAAGCACGAGTTAGCCAGGAATGTGTTTACACCAGAAGACAGAGGAAAGTTTCTCATCTATTAAGGAGCTGAAGTTCAGGCTCAAGAACAGTTTTCCCACAGGAACAAAGGAGAAAATCTAACAACTTTAACATAGATTTTGCCACACATAGAAGATCTGATATTTCAGAGTAATAAACTTTTGTGTAACACAGGAATCCCCATTCTTTCTATATCTCCCATAACAATTACCATTTATGAAAATAATTTCAGGAGCTATGAAGTAAAAAAAAAAAAAAAAAAAAAAAAAAAAATTCATAAAGTGGTCTATGTACAGTTTATAACTAGATCTATGTGCATGCACACAGAAAAAAAACTGAAGGTAAAATTAGGTCCTGTGTTTGAGCAGAGTTGCTCTCTATAGAATAATAATCCTCATAGTGCTATTATAATTCCCTACAGGAAAAGATAGTAAAGCAGTTGTCCTGGTTTATAGAAGCATTCCTTATCGATTATATCATAAATGGCTTGAACTCTGTCATGACGGGGCTTTGTGAGAGAACAAGAATTGCTAGTCATTGTGTAAAAGTCTCTAATGTGGCTAAGAATTCTAGTAGATCTGCAGAAGAATAAGAACAATATGATTAAAATTTGGGTTAGAGGTTTTTGAAGACCTTAACCTTTACTAATAAGATTTTCAAGGCTCTTAGCCACACTACTGATAAAAAACCATTTGCATGAGAATGTACACTGTGGCAGCGATCCCAGAATACATGGCAAATTTTCTCAGAGCAAAAACTTTTTGTTATTTTTTAAGTGAAAAGAAGAAAAATAGTGCTGTCTCAGCTATGCCAAAATGAACCTTTTACTTAAGGTTGCAGAGGGTAATTCACTAGGGCCACTGAGACTTATCCCCTGCTAATACAGATGTAAAAATCACTCATAAACTCACCTCAGCCACCAGCAAGTTTTGACTCACATCATCAACTTGCCGCTTCTTCCCCACTAGAAGAGCCTCTGGTGATCATGGATAGATCTCACCGCACTGTGAGTTCTGCTAGCACCAACTGAGGAGATGAAGTGTTGAGTAATGGGGATATTTCCACTCCTCTCACAAGTGTAACACATCAAGCAAAGCTTCTGATTAATGTTTACAAATAGAAACAAGGAAATCTGACTTTTATCCAGCCAGGTTTTCCTCTGTTTTCCTATGGCTCAGACCCTCCAGCTTCAGCAAGCCAATGTTGTAGCATATTTTTCTCAAATCATCTAGAGTAATTCCTTTATTTCCATGCTAAGGGCCAGCAGAAATTTCCAAAGTAATAATATTTTTTCTCCTAGGAACACCACTATATTTCCCATCTGTTTTAAAAAAGGCAGGCAAATATTCATCAGATGACGACTTATCATGCCTATCCAGATGAAACATACTCAGCTGAATAACCTAAAGTGAAACCCTCTGTTTTTCATTGCTAACTCTCCAGCACATCTGTTCCTCTAAGAGAATTTCTTGTAGTGCTGAAGACTTGAGAAAACTGGAGAAGCTAGATATAAAAATGAGGTAGCCACCACTGGCAGGTACTTTTTTCTTTTTTTCCACACTACATGACTGACTGCTTCAGCAGCGTAGGAGTTGTACTTCAGTTCTCCTTAGTTCTTTCTTCATGAAAGCTGACAGTGATAATCTTAGCAAAACTACTCCTGTGTTCAGATCACACTGATACTTGTTTGTCCAAGCCTGTAAAATCTCCCTCATGGTGCTTTTTAGCATCTTTAACAGCATGCCTGCAAGAGAAAAAAAACATATGTATTAATTGAACAGCTGACACACACCAACCAACATAAACAACAGAGAAGACTAACAAAATACAGGACTTTATATATACTCTATAAAATAGCCTAGAGAATCATGGTTAAAAGACTGCACCAGGGAGATAGTCATTATAAACAGCGAACTTCCGTCAATAATGTATGACATCGTATACAATAGCAAAGAGAAAAACAGTTTAAAATTTTATCTAGAATTACATTATTCTTTGTACCGACACCCTTGAGAAAGTAGCCTATGATGATATAAAAAAGACCACATTTACCACTTCTTGCTTTTGGCATTTGGACTGGCAATAACTGTCCCTTTTTATTAACACTGTTTTTATCTAGAGCTGTAATGGCCACATACACAGGTGAAATGAAAGGCATTTATTTCATTCTCAACACCTCACTGGAAAAAAAAATCAATGTATTGCACTAATTTGCTGAATAACTTTTTGTTGTTGAGGAGATACAGGGAGCCTGCCACCCCACCTGGCATGCTCAGAAACTGATTACAAACCATTGTGCCAGAGAGGTGGAGCTTTTCTATCATGTGTGTTGTGATTTGCAACTCTGCTAACATGACTAGCATGACATCAGTTATAGGGAAGTTCCTTGGGGAAAACCTGATCCTTTCTTACAGCATTAATCAGCTTTTTCATAGAAAATTAAGAAGCTGTGCATTTGCAGGACCAAGCACACTGTCACACATTAGGCCTGCCTGGGTAAACTCACTCTGTTGAGATGCTGAGATGTTATCTCCATGCACCAGCAACCACCAGCAGTTGGAGGAGCTTAAGAAAACAAACAACAAAACACTCCTTACCATTCACTCCTTCATAGAGGAAGAGGGTTATTTACTGGACATGTTCAAACCAGGATTACTATCCAAGTCAAGTAGGCCTATAGTGCTGGTACCGTGCAATGTAACTAGTACATCCTACATCACTTCTTCAGACTATGAGCAACAGAGATAGAGCACTGCGTTTCACTCAGTAAGAATGCTACTACCACATTTGAATGTGTTATTAATTTCTTACAGCTCAGAGCAATGCTCATGAATAGGATGAGGTCTTGGGAGAGACAGACCTGAAGAGCAGCGCCCTGATTTCTTGCTTGGCCTGGACTCATTACACTCTGAACATTTGCACAAAGTACAGATTGTCATCACAGGAAACCATCTAACAGATAAATTTGCAGCCTGCTAGAAAACAGCAGAAAGATTTTGACACTCAACCAGCTCTGTTTCAGTAAAATTGTATTATTGCTTGTACTTTGGCTTCAGGTATCATTTGCACATAGATCTTTATTTCAGCTGTAGGAAGAAGAAAGCCATTTCCTTTTAGCACTTGTGACTTTCCATGCAGGAATGTAAATCTTCTTTCTTCACCATTTGGACTCTTACTGTCCACATATCTAACTCTGGATCACAGAAAGCTGTGCTTCTGGTAGTTTCTGCTCTCTCTATTACTACATCATTCCTATCTTCTCTAAAGTTTTAAAAATAATTTTGGATCATGGAGCCAAGAACATTATACTGCTATGAAAGGACTAAATACCATATTAGGATGAAACCATAAAAATGTAGGTTGGAAAATGTGTGAAGTAGTTGTGTTCTTCTGTTTAATTCTGATAAAGCCCCCACTTGAACACAGTATCCTGTTTCAGGGTTAATATCAAAGGAATGATGTAGAGTAACTGAAGAATAGAAAGAATAGTCACAAGAGTATCCAAAAGGCTGGAAAGCATGAACAATTGCCTAAGTTAAAGATAACGTAACATAGCTTGAGATACGCAAACAGTTGCTACAGTGAGGAAGTGAGCAATTTGTTCTCCGTGTTTATAATAGATGGAGTAAGCATAATGATATATAAATTGCAGCAAAAAAAGGTAAAGATTAGACATCTGAAAAACTTGCAAAATTTCTTAGCATGCAGGTGATCCTAAGTTAGGCAGAACAGCTATTAACCTCAAGCCTCCTCTGAAGCAAATAGTTCTACATTATGCAAGTAGACTGCTTCACAAACTTCAACATCATTTCCTTCAGAGAAATGAAGATCTTGAGCCTTAAGTTACTAACTGAAGTAGTGGGATGTAGATGGGAGTAGAGTGAGTGTCTCTTTCTAGAAATTCAGCTCCTTGGAGGAGCAGGTGCCATGGTCAGTATAGCACATCCACATTCTACCTTGCCACCACTGTGCATATACACACACTGCATGGCAAGGAAAATAAGAAATTAAATATCAGGTCTCATCTTACAGAGATCAGTTATTTAAAACAAACAAACTAGCATTTTTCAGAGCTATTTGTATTTTGCATAGAATGTCATTCATATCAGCTTACATCTGTAAATCGCTTACTCATCTCTGATTTTTATTGCAAGTTCTTCCAATTACTGTAGGCAGCTGCAGAAGTCTTGACTAGAAAATAGAAACTCTTTCAGTAAGTTATCTTTCATGTATGTTTCAGAATCTAGCGTACAAACAAGAAAACCTTTAGTAAAGCTCAAGATGATTACAAAGAAAAATAGACTTAAAAAGATTTTACTACTACTATCATGCCCTCATCTGTGTAGCAAATAGTCATAGAAAGCCAAACAAACACACGCAACAAAGTCACAATGTTGTGGAATTGTGAAAGCCCAAGCAAAATTCTTCGTGAAAATAACAGGTTCAACAATATTTGGCTTTGCACTCTCTCTTCTAAAACTTTTTTCAGTCCACATCTGCTCAGCTAAATCATAACTTAAGTCTTACTGACCTGTGTATTAGACTCTCAAGAGGATGAAATCAGATGATATGCAGCACATGTGAAACCTTTTTACTTTAGCCGTGTGTTACTAATGCTAAGTAGACAGTTTCACTATGGAAGTTGCTCTCTTTACTCTAAGTCTCAGAAATGCCATTATTTCTCCTTAATCCATGGCCAGTTCAACTCTGTTCCTCAATTAGAGCCAGTTACACAGTGTGCTTACTTAAAAGGAAAGATTTACTCAAAGAGCTCATAGCTCAGATCTTAAGAAAGAAGTAAACTAAAGTATTATCAAGCAAATTTTTATCAAGTTGTCAATCCACAGATGCTTGAAGATCAATATTTTACAATAGTTTAAAACTACCTTCTTGCCCTAGGGCATATTGCTGGAGCATCTTCACTATTGTAGGACTCAGAAAGATTTGATCTGTGTGAAATGAGTTAAAAAAAATAAGGTTTCTTCATAATTAGATCTTTGGTAGGGAAAAAAAAAAAAAAAAAAAAAAAAAAAGAGGCAAAACAACAGTTAATAAGTGTTTTGGAAACCCTAGCAAAAGCCATATATCAAGAAGCATAGGGGAAGTGATTATAGGGAGGCAGAAAAAGAAGGGCCAATGGAAGTCTGCCTTGTCAAGGTAGGAGTTAAGCACACATGCTGGTAAATAATAGTAACATAAGATACAAGTTTATATATCATGAGGAAAATTTATGAATAGATTACTCCACTGAAATGATAGAAAAAATAAAAATGATACTGTGAAATAGCAGCAAAAGATTTTAATTAATGCACAGGTGTTTGTACATTAATTGTTTCTTAGAACACCATAAAACACTGTACAAAATTCCATCTCTTTCTGAGTTATATCTGTACAAACAAATATATCGCTACAACAGCATCCAAAATTCACACCTACATGTTTCCCTTTGTTCTCTAAGAGGGTGTAAATTTTCTTTAATAGACTGTAAATTTCTGTTGTACAAATTGTTGGTGTGCATGAAAAGGCAGCTAGGTAGGTACAGATGAAACAAATCTCAGTCAGATACAGAAGGAAGCAGGACAGCTTAATAAAACTAAACTCCTGCTACTTGGCTTTTCTTTATGTTCAGAATGTTAACCCATGCTGACCAAGTCACCTCATAATAACATCAGCCACGTATTAATCCTGTGTTGCAAGTAGGATGACTAACACAGAAAAGGTAAAATGGGCTGTCTGTATCTGCAGAGTGTGCTAGAGAGTGAATTCTCAGACAGGATTTTTTTTGTTCCTTGCCCGGTCCTTAAAAATTTGGACTCCCTTGACATCAATACATGCATTTCTCTATTAAACTGTGCAAAGTAAACTCTCCCAGCTTTGCTACCTTAGCAAGTCCAGTCTCCTCAATCTCTCACTTGTGGCTTGAACCCTCTTAATTAATATTTGAGGAAACAAAAGCAACTAATGGTTGAAGTCACTGGGCAACCCCATTCCAAATCCTTGTACACTGGTTAGGCGATCTCTCTAGGGAGTTTGAAAGTGCCTTATAGGTACCAAGTGATAGATTTTCATAATCATTCTCCACACTGGGGCAAGAAAACTTGCAAGGCAAGACGCTGGTGTTTTCCTCTCACTTTGTGTGTGTGTTGTACCAGACTTGCATGCTCACACATTCACACCCTGCAGGGGACAATTTTTGTCCCTGCCAGTAACTTCAGTAAACATGCTTCATGTTCTTTCAACCAGTTATGACCTGTTATTCTTCAGACATACGCACAGGCAAAGCAGGATCTTCCTAATACCAGCTCTCTGCATGTTTACACAGCAGGGAGGAAATATACTGAATGCATATGCCAAAATAAATATGATTATTACCCTGCCATTGTGAAAGAAGTTATTCAAAAGTGAGATCAATAGAAATGTGCTGCAAATGCATGATCAGGTGATTTTGCAATTAGGATAACAATTTATACAGAGCTAAAGCAGTGAACAACAGATACAGGATCAGAAATATTAAATTATCTTTGTTATGTGGGTGGGAGGTTTGACATTCAGGATTTTATTTATCTAAATATTTGTGAGCTGCATAGTGACTAACATTAAAATATCAAAATGACAGCTAAACTCATATATTAGTACAAAGAGGCAGTGGTATAATTACTAGGATGTATGAGGATATTTAAAGGCTGGCTGAGGTAGAAACATAGCTTTAGTGAATGTACTCAGTAAGACATTCTGGCATTCAAA